GCGAAGAATCAACATCCAATTCTTCTTCGACATTAACAACCATAACTGCATCGTCTACTATTTCAGATAATGAGAAAGATTTGTCAAATAAACCCGCAGAAAATAGCACGAATCAAACTCTAAATTCAAAAACAGATGCTAATCGATATTCGGAAATGACAAATCTGACGATTCCGATGTCGGAAGCTGAAACAATTGCTAATAAGAACAATAATGATGGTGACATTGAGAAAGCGGTGGCAATTGAAGATGAAGTTCAATCATTAGATAATCCACCGGAAAGTCCAAAGTATTTGAAAGGAATAGAACTATTTTGGGTTATGGCCGGGTAATTATCAATATTTTTTCCTTTTTTTAATATATGCATATCAATTCGTTTCTAAATTACGTTATCGTTATTAGATTGGGATTTGGTGTATTCCTATCTGCACTCGATCAAACAATCGTCGCAACTGCTCTACCACGAATCGCCTCAGATTTTAACGCATTAAATCAAATTTCTTGGGTTGGAACTGCATATCTCCTGACAACGGTAATTTATCTTTCTGTTTGATCTATTTCAATATCAACATCCATATTTGTAAATACGTATTTTACTTAAGTTTATTAATTATTTAAATTAGACGGCGTTTCAACCAACATATGGTAAAATATCAGATATTTTCGGACGAAAAGCGACATTTCTCTTTGCAATAGGCGTATTCGAATTGGGAAGTCTATTATGTGCTGTTGCTCAAAACATCACTTCTATGATTATATTTCGTGCAATCGCTGGCATGGGCGGCGGTGGTATTCTAAGTTTGGTAATGATTGTTATATCGGATATCGTTCCACTTGAGGATCGTGGAAAATACCAAGGACTTATTGGTGCAGTATTCGGAGTCGCTTCACTTGTCGGTCCCCTCTTGGGGGGTGCTTTTACCGATCACGTAACTTGGAGATGGTGTTTCTTTATTAATTTGCCATTTGGAGTTATCACAGCAGGCACCGTCATCAAATATCTCAATCTTCAAAAACCGAAAGGTTCTTTACTCAGCAAACTTAAGCGTCTCGACTGGTGGGGAACTCTGGTGGTAATCGCCGCCACTATTGCTTTACTTTTGCCACTAAACTGGGGTGGAGATAAATACGCATGGTCGAGTCCGGTTATTATCGTACTACTTATAGTCGGTACACTCTTATTTGTTCTTTTTGGATATGTGGAAGGTTGGCTTGCTATTGAACCAGTTGCGCCCGGTCGTCTCTTTAAAGATCGTGCTCTTCTTGCATGTTTTAGCGTAAACTTTTTTCAAGGCATGGCATTCTTTTCACTGGTTTACTACATACCACTTTACTTTCAAGTCGTAAAAGGCGAATCAGCCACCATCTCTGGATTGGAATTACTACCGTTTATTCTGGGTGTTGTGATAGCATCAATTTCCACCGGACAAACTATCTCGCGAAAGCCTAACATCCGTAAACAACTATTGGCCATGATTGGCGGTGCATTAATTGTTGTTGGTGCTGGACTCACGAGTCTTTTGTCCGAACAGTCTAGTCGTGGAAAGCAGATTGGTTACCTTTTGATTCCAGGTCTTGGTATTGGTCTTATTATGCAAACAACATTATTATTCTGCCACGCTGCAGTTGATTATAAAGACGTCGCGGCTGTCACCTCAATGCTAAACTTTTTCCGATCAAGTAAGCATTCATTAATTACATATAAACAATATGTCGTGTTCTAAATATCTTTTTCTAATCTAATTTAATTTTTAATTTTAAAGTTGGCGCAGTATTTGGTGTAGCAATCGTTGGAACAATCTTCAATAACGAGCTTAACGATAAGATCGAAGCTTTACATCTTGGTATCAGCGCGGAAACCGTGAAAAGTTCCTCAACATACGTCGCAAATTTACCCTCAGATTTAAGAGTACAAGTGATTCATGCATACGTTGAAGCATTACGAATCAGTTATCGTGTCATAATACCCTTCGGTGTTTTATGTTTTTTAAGTGCGATATTAATTGGCAAGAATATAACAAAACATCGACAAACGAGAACATTTGCATTTAGTGAATGATTAAAAAAAAAACGGATATTTAGAAAGACATTTTGTCATTTAGAACTAAAGAAAACTTAATTTAATATATAACATATAATGTAAAATAATTTTATTCGAGATCTTTATTTAACAGTTAGTACAGATAAAAATAAATTATCAAGTAAAACTGGCTATTTTTCACATTGAACTTTTTAAATTAACTCTTTGAAAAGTACCAAACCCAACAGTTTTAGTTTTTTGTTATTTTTCCTTCAAATGCACCAAACGTGATACATGCATCATGTGTAATTGAGATTATGTCTTGAAAATCTCTGTGTTTATAAGCTATCAAAATTACTTCTGCCGAGTATAATTACAATTACACCTCTATGAGAACATGATCGGGAGACAAAAAACTTGGCTCTAATAAAGTTAATAATTATGTTCTTATAAAGAGAGAAATTTTGTATGTTCTTTTTCGTGAATTTGTTCCGTTTGAATAAACATTAAATCTGAATGTTGTACAGTATATATCAATAAAGTGTAGTAAACTATGTTTATAATGTCGACGAAATATTAATAATAAATAAATAACTCTAATAAAATATATAAATAAAAGAATGATTGCCCCAATTTAAAATTGTCTTTTTTTAAGTCTTTGAGCAAAAGGCTACCTGGAAACATTATTCCAAGAACATCACCGGTCCCGTATGCTTCTTCTCTCTATTTCGCCCAATAAATAACGTACATAAGAAACAAAGACCACCGAAAACTATCACAACTTTAAAGGTGTAATCAAGCGCTTCAACGTATGCATGTCTGACTAGTCCTCGTGCGGGTTCTGGAAGTTGCGAGACAAATGTCGCAGATTTCTTGATGGCTTCGATAGGAACATCGATTTGAAGATTTTCTAAACCAGAGGCGAGTTTGTTGTTAAATATCGTTCCAGCTATGGCGACTCCAAATACAGTTCCAACTATAATTATAAGCAAATAAAGATGTTACAGATCAGTTGTTGTTTAAGAATGCAAAAAAAATGAAATTAATTCTGCTTACTTGCTCGGAAAAAGTTTAATATAGAAGTAATTATAGCGACATCAGCTTGCTCAACGGCAGAATGACCAAATAGTAAAGTTGTTTGCATGAGTAATCCGACACCTAAACCAGGAATTAATAAGAATCCAATTTGTTTTCCACGGCTAGAATCTTCAGTTAAGAGGCTAGTCAGAGCAGAGCCAACTACTATAAATATAGCGCCAACGATACAAATCACTTGTAGTGAGATTTTATCAAATCGCGAAATAAGTTGTCCTGATATAATGCTAGCAAAAACGACGCCCATAATAAATGGTAAAAGTTCTAATCCTGAAGTAGTAGCTGATTCACCTTTGACAACCTGGAAATAAAGTGGGACGTAATAGACCATTGCCAAGAAGGCCATACCCTGGAAGAAATTAGTGCCGTAACAAGCGAGAATTCCTCGATCTTTAAAAAGATGGCCTGGCGTAACTGGTTCAACAGCAATCCAACCTTCAATATAGCCAAACAAGGTGAAGAGAAGAGCGCCAACCACCAATAATACGATAATGACTGCACTATCCCAAGCATATTTATCACCGCCCCAATTTAATGGCAGTAATATAGCAATAGAGGCCATGACCATAACCAACGTTCCCCACCAATCAATTTTCTTAAGTTTTTCCAAGAATCCACCTTTTGGCATAGGAAGTCGAAGAAATAGTACAACTGTGCCAATCGTGACTGCTCCAAATGGTAAATTAATATAGAAACACCATCTCCAAGTGATTTTATCAGTGAATGCACCGCCAAGTAATGGTCCAATTAAAGATGCGATACCAAATACAGCACCAATTAATCCTTGATATTTACCGCTATCTTTAAGCGAAACAATATCCGAAATGATAATCATTGCCAAACTGATAATACCACCACCACCGATACCGGCGACGGCTCGAAATATAATCAAAGAAATGATGTTTGGAGAGAGGCCACATAATAGACTGCCTAATTCAAAGACCATAATTGCAAAAAGGAACGTGGCCTTTCGCCCGAAAATATCCGAAAGTTTACCGTAGACTGGTTGAAAAGCGGTCTATTATGGCATAATCGAAAGTAAGTTAGTTATATCTTTTAAAATTTTGAATTAGAAAATGAAATAAATAATTACCGCTGTCAAGAGAAAAGAAGTTGCCACCCACGAAACTTGATTTAATGCATCAAAATCTGATGCGATTTTAGCTAAAGCCGTAGCAACAATTGTTTGATCAACAGCTGCCAAAAATATACCAAATGCAATACTAAAAAAATTGACAAGTGAGTCAATATTTTTTTACGATATTTACAAATAATAAAGTGATTAATAATTACCCAAGTAGCACTAATCTGAATTGAATTGGTGACAGATTAGCATTATGTCCTTTTTCTTGAGGTACATTGGTAGCAGTTTCACTTCCGTTCTTTGCTTGTTTTTCAATATCTTCATCGTAAGCATTTACCACAGCCGTGTTACTTTCATCTGATATTGAACTCTCAACTTCTAGACTCTTATTTACGACAGCTGTAGATTGAGGTATCTTTATTAAATCGTTTGTTGTTGATGACATTTCTTATGATATATTTCAAGTTTATGATTATATGCGTGGTAGATTTGACAAAATTTATTCTTTAACACTTCTTTAACTAAACCAAAGCTATTGAAGTGACGAAAAAAGTCATTTTCCGTTCCTCTATATATTAAACGCGTTTTCTGAGTGGGTCCACATTTAGGCATCTTGGTTACGCTTAAGAATTTAACCGAACCGAATTTGGTCCGATCTAAAATTAAGGATATTCATAATGCCGCCATAATATAATGTGTGTAAATCTTTAGAATGAAAATTTTTGCCCATCAACTGAAGTCGTGACTACTGAATGTATGTTTTATGCATATTCCTCTAAATATAGGCTGATGCCAAAGGTATACGTTTAAAGGAGTGCTAATTGTCCCGGTTCCAACGAGGGGTCATCAATATAGTTGATTACGAATTACAAAATCTGTGTGAGCTTGCCCCAATAGAACACTGGGATGTAAAAATTAAGGATATTCATAATGCCGCCATAATATAATAATGTGTCAAATTTTTATTTGTCCAATTTGACATTTCTGGTAACAACTGAAGTCGTGACTAATGAATGTATTTTTTATGCACATCCTCTAAATGCATACTATAGGCTGATTCCAAAGGTATGCGTTTAAAGAAGTACTTGTTGATTATGACTTACAAAATCTGTGTGAGCTTAATAGTGAAAGCTTCAATAGAACACTGGGATAGGATGCGACAAAAAGTCGGTTAATATTTTCGAAATTCTTTATTTCATGGGCCAGATATATTTGAAAATAATGTTGCAGAACTGTATCGTGCCTCGTTAATAAGTATTGGCAAAAAATATACCGGCTCTAACTAGAAGTTGATGAGTTTCCTCAAAAATCAATGATAGTTAAGATTCTAATTTTTTTGGAAATTCCTTGATAGCTTGGAATAAAAGTATTAGGATTCGTGGTATATATTCTTTTTGTATTCAAAAATTCGATAGAGTTTAGTGGTTCGCCCAATGTTTCTGAATTCGTTCGTACAAAACAAGTAACAATACAATTTAAATTACCAGAAACTTTTGAATTTTAGATTCAATTAAGATTTCATATAGATTTTGTCCTCTATCTCTTATTTAACTTTATAATATTGGCTTATTTGTTTAGTTTAGTTAAGTTTATCATCAAACTATACATATTCCTACAATATATTGCAAAAAATATATTAAAATTCAGAATTTCTCTATATATTTAATTTTATTAATAAATAATTTTTATTTTTATATCAAAATGAAGATAAAAACCTAAGTTTCACATATATTTTTTTGAGAGTTTTGCTAATTAAAAAGTTATTCTAAAATTTTTACTAATTAAATTTGTATTTTATTTAGTAAAATTTTAGAGCAACTTTATAATTAGAGAAACTTCTCTTCGTTTGGTTAATAAGATTAAAAACTTTTATATATAAATGCAGGTAATTTATAGAATATTAATACAAAATGTCATTTTCTTCATAATAAATAATACAGAATTAGTTATTAATATTTAAAATAAATATTTTTAGGTTTTGTTTCAAAACTTTTTAATATGCAGTATAATCACATAATTTATATACACAATGTGATTATTATTAAAGTTACTTATTAATTTATATAATTCTAATGAACTAGTAAGGTTTGAAATTAACAATTTATAGATTGCCCACATTGTATAGAAAAAATTCTGAAACTTTATTATGTTTTACTAATTTTTTTTGCATTCCGGTAATATACTGTGGAGTTGTAACTCTCCATAAGAAGAATAGACATTTATGGAAGGATGCATTTATGTTAATTAGCCAATCAAATAACAAAATTAATTTATTTTTGATTATTATTTGTTTCATGATTTCGGGATTTCGTGCATTGGGATGCCGTCCGTTCGGGATTCCACCGTTTGTTCGGAATTCTGTTCATTCGGTATGTTGTTCGTACGGGATTTCGTTCGCTCGGAATATTGTTCTGTCGTTCGTTCGGGATTTCGTTAGTCGAACTTATAAACTTCTTGAGATTGTTTTGTTGGGATCACATGAAAGTCACTTATGTTTATAAAATAGATTTGGAAAAAATCGTGCAGTGTAGAATATGCATTTATTTTTTAATTCCCAAGTTTGAGAATAAGACATAACTTGCATTTATGGAGGGTTGACTGTAATTTTTTAGTACCAACCGAAAGTACCACGCGCTTAATTCTTTTGCTCTCTTGTCTCGACTTTGAAAGCCAACTGATGTTTGCACTAATAATACTAATAATAAATATCAATGTACATGTACAACAATTGTGCTCAAATTCGTCTTAATTTGTGAGAAATTTTAAATTAAGCAGTACAGTTTACGCGATTATATTAAATATCATTGTGAATTACCTATTAGTATCTACAAGAATAATTTATCTTAAATGAATTTTCTCTATTTTAACAAAGATTTTATATTTTTACTCGCTAAACACAACAATCTTTTCTTCACCAGGTTTCCGCTTCCTATTCTTTCCTATTGCCAATGCACACAGGAAACACAAAATACCCATCGGTATCACAGCCCGGTAGGCAGCGTCTAATGCTTCGACGTATGCGTGCATTGCTTGACCTCTCTGAGCTTGAGACAATCTATTGAGTGCTGCCGCTGATTTTTTGATTTGTTCAATGGTTTGAATATCGAGATCAAATGCTTGGACTTTTTTAACGAGTTCGTTATTGAAGATTGTTCCGATTATTGCAACTCCGAATACTGCGCCGACTGTTTAGAAAATTCAGAATTGTAACTTTGAATTTACGAATTATATGTAAAAAAAAAAAAAATAGAGTATCTTACTTAAACGGAAAAAGGTCAACATTGAAGTAACAGACGCGATATCCAAGTGATCAACAGCAGCTTGTCCAGCTAACAAGGTAGTTTGCATAATTAAACCAACACCAATACCAGATATTAACAAGAATCCAATTTGATCTCCACGATTTGAATCTTCGGTCAAAATACTGGTAAGCCCAGCACCAATAGTGATAAAAGATGCACCCACAATGCATATCCATTGTTTTGGGAAGTTTTCATTTCTCGAAATGGCTTGACCAGAAGTGATAGATGCAATTACAACACCCAGAATATATGGTAATAATTCTAGTCCGGAAGAAGTAGCTGATTCATTTTTTACGACTTGAAAATATATTGGGACATAATAGATCATAGCGAAGAAAGACATCCCTTGGAAGAAGTTTACACCGAAACATGCAGCAACAGCACGATTTTTAAATAGGCGACTTGGTGCGACTGGTTCAATTGCTACCCAACCTTCAATATATCCAAAGAGAATAAAGAGTAGACCACCGACGATTAATAGAACGATAATAATTGGACTGTTCCAGGCATACTTATCGCCACCCCAACTTAATGGAAGTAAAAGAGCAACGGTAGCCAAGACAACGACCAATATTCCGAACCAATCAATTCTTTTTAGTTTGTCTCTTAACCCTCCTTTAGGCTTAGGTAAGCGTAATAAGAAAACCACGGTGGCAATTGTAATGGCACCTAAAGGTAGATTTATAAAGAAACACCATCTCCAAGTAACGTGATCAGTGAATGCACCGCCAAGTAATGGACCGACCACTGATGATAAACCGAAACAAGCACCGATAAGACCTTGGTATTTTCCACGTTCTTTTAGAGTTACTATATCAGAAATTATTATCAAAACAAGACTGAGAATGCCACCAGCGCCGACACCAGCGATTGCTCGAAAGATGATCATTGAGATAATTCCTGGAGCGAGACCACATAAAAGACTACCAGTTTCGAATGTAATAATTGAGAATAAAAATGTGGCTTTTCTGCCAAATATATCAGAAAATTTTCCGTAGGTAGGTTGAAATGCGGTCTTTAAATATAAAAAGAATTAGTAATATATTCGCAAATAATTAAATATATTATAAACAAAGTACCGTAGTTAAAAGATATGACGTTGCAACCCAAGAAATTTGATCTAACGCATTAAAATCTGACGCGATTTTAGGTAATGCTGTGGCGACAATCGTTTGATCGAGAGCAGCCAAAAACATGCCGAAAGCAAGACTAGCAGATTTAAATTAATAACGGCATCAGTATACGATAATACATGTACATAATGCAGTTCTAAATAAGCTTACCCAATCATGATCAATGCGAATTCGGTCGGATTTAACTTTACTGCCCTATGATCTTCGTTTCCATCGTCGTTATCAGGTGACTCTCCTTTCTCGATATCAGCTTTCTCTATGAGGGTTTCATCTTTTTCTGCAGTTTCTGTACTACTTCCATTTGATTTTTTTCTTGGTGCGGATTTTTCTTTTTCTTCGACTGCTTTTGTAGTCAAGGTTTGTTGTTGATTTACTGCTTTCGCAACATTTTCTACACTTTTCTTTTCGACTAAAGGCGTTACTGTTGACATAAATTCGGTTGTTGTCTCTTTGGCATGGGTTTTTGGTATTACCTCTTCAGTAGTAGTGGTAGTTGTTGCTGTTGTTACATTTTCTACATTTTTCTTTTCTATTAAAGTTTCCACAGGAGTTACTGCGCTTATTGATTCTTTGACATGTGTTTTTGGTATTACCTCTTCGGTAATTATTTCTGCTGCAATATTTTCTGTCACCAAAGATGTCTCAGGAGTTACTGTTGTTACTGTTTCGATTGTTGCCTCTTTGACATGTGCCTTGGGTATTTTCTCTTCAGTAATTGTTTCCGTTGTGGTTGTTGTTGCAACGTTTTTTTCCACAAAAGATGTAGTTTCTACAGGAATTACTGTTGTTACTGATTCGATCGTTGTCTCTTTGACATGGGCCTTTGGTATTTCTTCTTGAGAAATGATTTCTACTGTAGTGGGCGTAATTTCCTCCTCGATTTTAATCGTAGCTGCTTCTATTGCAGGAGTTGTAATTTTCTCTTCAACTGAGACTATTGTTTCGGTCGTCCCTTTCGTCGTAGTTTCTTCTATTGCAGGGGCTGTGGTTGTTTCTTCAACCGCAGTAGTAGAGACTATTTCTTTTATAGGGATTTCAACGGTTGTATATGTTGTGATCGTAGTGGTTATTGTCTCAGTTATTAATTCTTCTCCGGTGGGAGTTGTGCTTATTTGCGTAGTGGATTCTTGTTTGGATTCGGTAGATGCCATTTTTTTTAATCTAAATTAGTTTTTTATTGATGCACACTTTTAAAATAAATCGTCATTGGATTTTTTTTTTAAACGTCAGATCTCAGATCTGTTAAGGTTCTTACTGGTTTAATTGATTAAAACGCGTGAAATTTTTTAATAAAACCTGAAAAACCACGCGTTCCTATCGAAATATAGGCCTATTATCCAACGTAAGCGGCAAAGCGCAACACGCGTTATGGAGAAATTATTAGATATAAAATAATCAAAATAATAATCAACAACGAAATGTGATGACGCTTTGAAAAAAAGGCATAAAAGAGAAGCCCGGATTTAAATTTATTCCTTTTTCCTGTAATACATTGTATGAAGACCACGACACACTACACAAATTTAATTCTTTATTACACGTTTCCATACAAACATATACATATATATATTATTTGTGGAAATTCCTGTTGTGTTCTTTTTTCAAAGATACAAATATTTTTGGCGTAATGTATACATAATCCCATGTTGTACTTTTTGAATTCTATTACCGAAGTTTTGCCGATAGGATATTTGGTTAGTATACATAATAATTGTTTTTTATATTATCACGCGCTACTACAGATGCATCATTTAACATTGTTCGTTTACCAAATTCAAAACAAAAGAAAATTTTTGACGGATAAATTTTAATATTTCCGTTTTGCCGATTTGCGAATTCTCAATTTCGGATAAACTAAGGCAATGTAACATGCATGCAATAATCTCGTGTTTCACAATTAAATCTTCTAATCGGAATTCCTTATACATGTAGAAGTTTAGTCAAATATTGACAATAATAATTTTTTTTAGCTAGAATCTATATCGATTATCGTTATGTTGAAGATTGCTATTTTAAGAGCGGCACCGCTTAAATATTAAGCGGTTAACAGGTTAAAATTCAACGGGTTGATTTAATTAACTGGCAAAATTAATGATAACTATCTGTTAGACGCGAAATTGATGAAAAATTTATTTTCTAGAAAATATTAGTGAAATCGATGAGGAATCGCTGACGAAAATTGCCCGGTTAACCACCAATGTTTGTTGGTTAGTTACCCGGAAAATTGCGTCAGTGATCGACATCGTGAAACATAATACAGGTTAAGTGCAGTCAAAAGAATATTTACTTCTCTGCTATCAAGTTACTTTATTAAAATGTCGTAAGCATATGTAGCATACCAGTTGAGCTCCGATATAATGAACCTTGATATAACGAAATTTATTTTCAGATCATAAGCCTTGATATAATGAAACTTAGTAAAACCACTTCGTTATATCAAGGTTCAACTGTATGTTATACGCTTACGACATTTAAATAAAAGTAATTTTACTACTACCATGTACATGTATTATTAAGCATTTGTGAAGTAATATTGTTATAAAATGATTTTTACAAACACTAGCGATAAGCCCCGGCCCCGTCGTCCGGGACGGCGGGCTGGTTGAGGATCGACCCATGTTCCTCTGTCGGTTGTTCCAGCACTATTATCCATTGGCACTTTCAGACTAACGAAAAAACGAAATCAGTTAGATCCAAACAAGTAGATTGTTTCTAATCTATACTGGACTAAAAATAGAAAGTTTTTTAGTTTAAAAATTATATTACCATAAATTCCCGAAAATAAGCTGCAAAAAATCTTGGTTTGAAATAGGTAGGTAGCTTGTTTTCAGAGTTAAATTTATTAAGATTACATATACCGATACCCGATTTTGACTAAAAAATTGGATTTACTGTAATTTAAAATACT